GTTTTCCAGGATCTTTTGCAGCTGGATGTGTGCAAACAGCTGATCTCCAGAGAGCAGAGAAGGGAGGCGCAGGATGCGCTGATCTTTCAGGGTCATGAGACAGTGCTGTTCTGTCTCAAATTATATGGTTGCCCACACTCCTCAACCTCTCCGTCCTCGACCCGGGCTCCATCTCCACCACTGTCCCCAAATCCATGGCCAATTCCCTCTGGGAAATCAGGACCATTTCCTATGCAGGGTGTGCTGCCCAGGTCTTCTTCTTTATCTTCTTGATGGCAGGGGAGTATTTTCTTCTGACTGTCATGGTCTATGACCGCTACGTTGCCATCTGCAAACCCCTGCACTACGGGGCCTTCCTGGGCAGCAGAGCTTGCACCAAGATGGCGGCTGCTGCCTGGGGCAGTGGGTTCCTCTGTGCTTTGCTGCACACTGCCAATACATTTTCACTACCACTCTGCCAAGGCAATGCCATAAACCAGTTCTTCTGTGAACTCCCCCACATCCTCAAGCTCTCCTGCTCCAACTCCTTCCTCAAAGAACTTGAGGTTCTTATAGTTTGTGCTATTGTAGGTTTGGGGTGTTTTATTTTCATTGTTCTGTCGTATGTGCAGATCTTCAGGGCTGTGCTGAGGATCCCCTCCGAGCAGGGACAGCACAAAGCCTTCTCCATGTGCCTCCCTCACCTGGCCGTGGTCTCCCTGGTTGTCAGCCCTGCCGTATTCACCTACCTGAGGCTCCCCTCCACCTCCTCACCACTTCTGGATCTGGGGGTGGCGGTTCTGTACTTGGTGGTCCCCCCAGCGTTAAATCCCATCATCTACAGCATGAGGAACCAGGAGCTCAAAAATGCACTGAAGAAGCTGATTCCACCACTTTTCTTTCAGCAGCAATAACGTGCCCATGTCTCTTCGCAGGGATTTCGTGTTCATCTCAGGAACCTCCTCTGCTTTATGCATTTGGTTTGTGATCATCCTGTTTGTCCAGGAAAGTCTGCATCCACTCCACTTCTCCAGAGGCATGAGCCCAGTCCGTCTGACCCAGAGTCCTTTGTACATGTCTCTGCATGAGGTTATCGCTGGTCTCCTGTGTTGCGTCTCTCTAATAAAAGGGGATTTCCTCAGCGCCAGTGCGTGGAGGTTTGGCTCTTCTTCCAAAGCTGAACTCAAGAACAGGCTGAAGAGGTTTTGCCCTGCAAAGCCGTGCTGCTGTTCTTGGGTTCCCCATAGGCTCAGGGGAGGAGGGCATGGGGTGATGTGTTGGGGAAGGAGGCCTGCGCTGGGTGCCCAATTCCCCTGGAGGAGGTGAATGATCAGAAGAGATCTGCCTGGCGCTGTCTCCCATGGCTTTCGAGTACCACGACCTGCTCATTCTGCAGAGCAGCACCACCAGCTCAGGGCTCTGCGGGGAACACGGGGAGGGGGCAGGAGCGGCCAGCCAGGCCAGCACAGACACATTCCCATGGGGAAAGCCTCTCTGGGCAGGCATGTCAGTGGAGAAGAGCAGAGGAGCAACTCTGTGCTTCCAGGGGAGAATAACTGATCAAGTGAAACCTGTTTCTGCGTGCAGCAGGTCAGGGCAGGCTGGACTTTCACTGGCGAAGTGAGAAGAGCTGAGAAGTGGCTGGGCCAGGCTGGAAAGTACCTGGGAGAGGACAACACCAAAGTTAGCTGAGCTGTGTGACCATACAGGGTGAGGACTCACACCAGCCAGGGCTCGTGGAAGGGAGCTGAGATGTGCAGGCACAGGAGAGAAGAGGGACAGGGTGGTGACGGGGCCACCAAGCAGCATCCAGAGGGGGACAGCAAAGACAGGTACGAACAAGGAATTCCTGTGCGTTTCCTTCATTGTGCAGGAATCATAGAATCACAGAATCACAGAAGGCTTTGGGTTGGAAGGGACCTTTAGAGGTCATGTAGTCCAAACCCCCAGCAGTGAACAGAGACATCTTCAACCAGACCAGGTTGCTCAGAGCCCCATCCAACCCAACCTTGAATGTTTCAAGGGATGGGGTCTCCAATACCACTCTGGGCAAGCTGTTCCTGTTTTTCACCACCCTCATTCAAAAAAAATTTCTTCCTTGTGTCCAGTCTAAATCTACCCTCCCTTAGTTTAAAGCTATTACTCCTTGTCCTATCACAACAGGCCTTGCTAAAGACATTGTCCCTGTCTTTCCTACAGGCCCCCTTCAAGTACTGAAATGTGGGCCTCAGCAGGGCCCCCAGCGCGCTCTTCTGCAGGCTGAACAGCCCCAACTCTCTCAGCCTGTCCTTGCAGGGGCAGTGCTCCAGCCCTCTGATCATTTTTGTAGCCCTAGATCCCAGATAAACACACTGAATGGAATCCCAGGCTTTACTGTTGTGTCAAAAATATAATTCTTATTTTTTAAATGTGTGTTTTATATATATTTATATATGCTCCTCAAAGATTTACTGTAAGTTTAATGACTACAGCTAATGAATATTTCTGCTTGCCAAGATAATTTCATAGGTCACCCATACCTAAGAAATCATTCTGACATTATTGCATGCATAAATCCTCTGTTAACCTTTGTATGGAAAATGAGATTTTTATTTTTAAAAGGAACATACTTAGGATAAAAATGTAACTGTTTTAACTAGCTGGGGGGGTCCCTGACAAGATACTTTCCCAGCCCTGCTCCAAAACCTCGAACATCTGGAGACAGCTGGCAGCCAAAAGGGGATAGCCTGGAAAGCTGTTGCTCAGCCTCATCTGCCCATGGCACTGCTCGCACAGAGGCACAGAGACTGTGGCTGCTCCCATGTCCTGGTGTCCCCCCATGTCCCCTTGTTCCCCCCCATGTCCCTGTGTCCCCATGTCTCAGTGTCCTCTTGTCCCCATGCCACCATGTCCTGGCATCCCCACCTCCACGTGTCCCCATGTCCCCTCATGTCCCCGTGTCTCCATGTCCCTCTGCCACCATGTCCCTATGTCCCCAAGGCACCTTGTCCCTCCATGTCCCGGTGTCCCCATGTCCTGGTGTCCCCCCATGTCCCCTTGTTCCCCCCCATGTCCCTGTGTCCCCATGTCTCAGTGTCCTCTTGTCCCCATGCCACCATGTCCTGGCATCCCCACCTCCACGTGTCCCCATGTCCCCTCATGTCCCCGTGTCTCCATGTCCCTCTGCCACCATGTCCCTATGTCCCCAAGGCACCTTGTCCCTCCATGTCCCGGTGTCCCCATGTCCTGGTGTCCCCCCATGTCCCCTTGTTCCCCCCCATGTCCCTGTGTCCCCATGTCTCAGTGTCCTCTTGTCCCCATGCCACCATGTCCTGGCATCCCCACCTCCACGTGTCCCCATGTCCCCTCATGTCCCCGTGTCTCCATGTCCCTCTGCCACCATGTCCCTATGTCCCCAAGGCACCTTGTCCCTCCATGTCCCGGTGTCCCCATGTCCTGGTGTCCCCCCATGTCCCCTTGTTCCCCCCCATGTCCCTGTGTCCCCATGTCTCAGTGTCCTCTTGTCCCCATGCCACCATGTCCTGGCATCCCCACCTCCACGTGTCCCCATGTCCCCTCATGTCCCCGTGTCTCCATGTCCCTCTGCCACCATGTCCCTATGTCCCCAAGGCACCTTGTCCCTCCATGTCCCGGTGTCCCCATGTCCTGGTGTCCCCCCATGTCCCCTTGTTCCCCCCCATGTCCCTGTGTCCCCATGTCTCAGTGTCCTCTTGTCCCCATGCCACCATGTCCTGGCATCCCCACCTCCACGTGTCCCCATGTCCCCTCATGTCCCCGTGTCTCCATGTCCCTCTGCCACCATGTCCCTATGTCCCCAAGGCACCTTGTCCCTCCATGTCCCGGTGTCCCCATGTCCTGGTGTCCCCCCATGTCCCCTTGTTCCCCCCCATGTCCCTGTGTCCCCATGTCTCAGTGTCCTCTTGTCCCCATGCCACCATGTCCTGGCATCCCCACCTCCACGTGTCCCCATGTCCCCTCATGTCCCCGTGTCTCCATGTCCCTCTGCCACCATGTCCCTATGTCCCCAAGGCACCTTGTCCCTCCATGTCCCGGTGTCCCCATGTCCTGGTGTCCCCCCATGTCCCCTTGTTCCCCCCCATGTCCCTGTGTCCCCATGTCTCAGTGTCCTCTTGTCCCCATGCCACCATGTCCTGGCATCCCCACCTCCACGTGTCCCCATGTCCCCTCATGTCCCCGTGTCTCCATGTCCCTCTGCCACCATGTCCCTATGTCCCCAAGGCACCTTGTCCCTCCATGTCCCGGTGTCCCCATGTCCTGGTGTCCCCCCATGTCCCTGCCTTCCCCCCCATGTCCCAATGTCCCCATGTCCTGGTGTCCCCATGTCCCTCTGCTACCACATCCCGGTGTCCCCCCATGTCCCAGTGTCCACCCATGTCCCTCTGTCCCTATGTCTCAGTGTCCCCGTGTCCCTCTGCCACCATGTCCCTGTGTCCCCAAGGCACCTTGTCCCTCCATGTCCCGGTGTCCCCATGCCCCTGTGTCCCCAAGGCACCATGTCCCCAACGTCCCCCTGCAAGGCGCCATGTCGCCCCATGTCCTGTCCCCCTGTCCCCATGGCCCCCCATGTCCAGGTGTCCCCATGTCCCCGTGCCCCTCTGTGTCCCCATGTCCCCCATTTCTCTGTCCCCACGTCCCCCATGTCCCTCTGTCCCTGTGTCCCTCTGTGTCCCCATGTCCCCTTCGTCCTCCCTTGTCCCTGTGTCCCCATGTCCCTCTGTCCCCACATCC